GTAATGTGTAAGAAACAACACAAACTTTGAAGTTGGTGTGTCCAGCCAGGTACACAAAGCCACTTCAGAAATTTACAACAGAGAACATTTGATTCAGGAAGTTGGTGATAAACAGGCAGTGTTGTTACTGAGAGCCGAGTGAGGCACAGAGAGGTGACCCAGAGAGCAGCACCAGCAGGAGACCAGTGCCACCCCTGGGCTGGAGAGGAAAAGGAGCCCAGAGAGGGCTGCCAGCAGAAGCCAGAACCTTGACAACTTCAAGAGCGGCTGCAAGCTGCTGCCGAAAAGGTGGAGAGAGGTTTTGGGAGAAACGTGCTGGCTGCTGCCTCCCCTGGCTCCAGCCTCCTGCAGAGAAGGCCCGGGGATAAACCAGCAGTGCCGAGGAGATGCCCTCTACCAGTGTCTCCTTCTTCACCCCCAACTCCTCAGAAAACGTCTGGGGTACAGTGACAGCCTGAAACCACACTGGCTTGCAGTTCTGTGAACTGAGGACCCGTTGGCCTGTTCCCTTTCTCCTCATCCCTCCACGCCGTCCCAGGCTGCGTTCTCAGTAGGAGATCGTGGCCTTCTCTGGCAGTGTGTAACTTCTTTTTGGGAACTAGTACATGATTAGCTTTCATCTCCCTGCAGAAGAAAAGCCTAAACAGGCACAGAATGCAGTCGGTGTTGGAACGCTTTAACTCGTTTCCTCGTTAGATGGTTGAGATCAGCTGGCCTATGGCCCGAGTCTATAAAATGGAGTCTCTCTTTCTCTTTAGATATTAGAAGAATAGTGTTACTTCTCTATCTCCTGAAACTGATTGTGGATGATTTACCCTGATTAACTAAGTGAACATCTAATAGAGAAAGCAATGTGAGTTGAAGAATAAATGTGTAGTATTTGTTGCTTCCATTACAAAATAATATGGGATGTAATCCAACTTAAGGACTCAAAGCATAGAGCCTTGTATCAGTGGGCATCCAATAAAATGTTTAATTTATAGTGACTCTTTTGTGAAAAGTTGGCATTGACTTTAAGAAAGAAATTTATAGCTGAAAGACCCTGAGAAATCTCCTAAAACAATCCTTGTGATTTGTAGAAAAGGAAACCAGTATTTCCACTTTTTATTTTCAGAAGATTCAAATTTAGGGGAAAAAAAAGAAAGCCTAAATCAACCTCAGAAACAGCTATTTTTTTAAATTATAAAAGCCTCATGTTAATTATAGAAAATCCAGAATAATGACTGTGTGTGTGTGTGTGTGTGTGTGTGTGTGAGACTCACATTGTAAAAGTATTTTGTAATCCTCCCCCCAGAGATTTGTTCATCCAGCAGGTGTTTGTTCATTGATTCAGCACCTACTGTTTGTCAAGCATTGTACTAGACACCAGGCAAATATTATGGGCAAAACAGCCACGATTTTAAAATTTCATTTCTATTCTTACAGCACTTTGTAGTAGAAAGGGAAACAGGTGATAAATATATATGTCAGGTGGGGGTCAGTGCCATGAAGGAAAATACAGGAGAACGAGAGAAAGGGAGATACTATTTTATATAGGACCAGAGAAAGCCCTCTGGAGCGCCAACATCACAGTGCTCTGACGAAGACACTGAGCCACGAGGCTCCCTGGGGAAGCAGGGGCAGTTCTAGCAAAGGGAATAGCTAGTGGTCAGGACTGTTAACAGGCTGATGTGTGTTTGTCCAGATTTTTTCCTGTGCATATATTAGGCTTTTAATAAAAAGAGCTGTTGTTTACACTACATCTGCTTTTTTTTCACTTAACAATCTCTCTTTGTCTTTTTAATGGCTGTATAACATTTCACCGTGTGGATGTACCTTAATATATTTAACCGGTTCTTTGTTGATGGACATTATGTTGTTTCCAGTTTTTCAGTATTACACAGTGTAGACAAACGTGGGTGTGTGTGTGTGTGTGTGTGTGTTGAGAATAGTGGTTTCCAACCACCTTTTAGGCTTAAGAAAATACTGATGCTCGGGTTCCATTCAGACTGGTTTTTAAGTCATGATCTCTGGGGATAGGATCCAGGCTTTGAAATTTTTAAAAAAACTTTTCAGATGATTCTAATATTTGTCAGCTATAGGATGATTCTAAGAAGTGGCCTTGCAGAGTCAATGTTGAAAAGAAACATACATTGTAGTAGATACTGTAACACTGTTCTCTATATTAGGATTGAGAACAACTGCCAGTAATAGAAATCTAAAATAATTTGTCTTAAACAAGGGAGTTTATTTCTGTTTTATAAATTTATAATTTTATTTTAAAATTCTAGACACGTGGCGGCCCAGGGCTGGTATGGCAGGGTTGTTCCACAAAGTCCTCAGGTACCCAGTCCCTTCTGGCTTTTGTTTTCGCTGAACCAAGGGGAGCTCTTAACCTCAAGCTCAAGGTAGAGGTTAGAGCTCCTTACCTTGACCTTCATGCTTCAGGCAGCAGAATGAAGGAAGGTTTAAAAACTGAAAGAGGCAAAGGGCCCGGGCCAGCTATCCTATAAAACACTTCACCTTGTACCCTGCTGGCCAGAACTTGGTCACAAGACCACACCCGACTTCAAGGAAGGCTGGGAAGCTGCCCTGCTGACCACCAGGAGCTCTTCTGTCTGGAAGAAGAGGAGAACGGGCAGAGGCAGTCTCCATGAAAGCTGTAAGCACCTGCCCTCCTGCTTGCGGAGCTTAGCACCCGAGGCCCAGACCTGGTCAGGTCAAGTCAGCCCCCACTGCTGGGTCAGCCCAAGCCACACGTGGGGATGGAAACTTCACACAATATGTTGGCTCGGGGAAAAGCAAAATAAATCTCCATCCGACTCAGGAAAGATGCTGCAGTACTGTCAACTTCATAGTGTATGAGAGGATGACAAGGGCGATCGTTGAAGGCCAGTTTCTAAATTGCACACGATTCTCTGTCTCTCTCCCTGATGTTTCAGCTCTTCATGGAGGGAATTTAGTGTCTTTAAACATGGCATTTGTTACTTACTAGTATACTCAAGTTAACCTGAGGATTAATGCTACACACCCTCGTTGGAACATATTGCTCGAAGAAGACATCTTAACACATAATTTTTTCTCTTTCAAATTAAATGCCCTTAAATTAGGAAATGAAAAGCAGTTTGACATGCGACGTTTTTCATCAGTATTTTCTGTTGTTGCAGTGGACGAAGGGCGCTGTAAGGATCCTGACCGCCTGCAGGTGTTTTACAGGAAAGCCGTAATGCCTTACGGTGTTTATAAGCAGCAGCAGAGAGACCCCAGCGAGGAGGCCGCGGTGCTGCAGTACGCGGGCCTGGTGGGGCAGGCGTGCTCCGAGCGGATGCTGCTGTTCAGGAGCTGACCGGCTCGGGCCGCCCTCTGCCCAGCCCGCCCACGCTGTGCTGATGACGCGGGCCGCGGGCCGCGGGACAAGTTCATTTCCCTGGGGAAATTCCGTTACCGTCCACAGATTAGATTTTTTTGATCTTCACAGTTATATGGCTTTTCTAAAATATTTTGTGGCAATGTGTTTGTGAGAACCTCATGGTTAATATAAAGATTTTAAAAGTATGTTATGACCTAGACTCAGAATTGGGGTTTATCATTTGGGAAGCTGGTTTCATGAACAAGACATGCTAAACTTCTCTTGGTAATATTTTGGAAAGTAAAATTAATAAGTGAATCTTAAGTAATTTAAATCACAGATGTGGTTTTTTTGTCCTGTTAGAGGAATCAAAACTGACTGTTTCCTCAGATCCATTTAAAACATTAGTTAATGCTGAAAAAATTTAGGTATGGGGAAAAGGTGGGAATTCTATTTTACCACTTAGGAAATGTCTTCTCAAGGGAACAAAACTGGGCTGTTAAAACTCAGTGTTCAATATTACATTACTGCCGAATGTTATATTATGTAGTTTATTAGAAAACTTGAAAAAGGGAAATAGTACAAACATCAAAAACAAAAAAAGATGTGTTTACATCAATGCCTTTTTACCCAGGACAGTCCTATTCACGTCTGCTGTTTTGGCACAATTATTTTTCCTAGAATAGTTGTTACCTGTGCTCCCTTTTACTCTCCAAATTGTCCCAGCGTGGACAATAAAACATATGATTACCCTTGTTATATATTATATTGTCCAAACTGGGATACTTTGCTCTATTTCTAAAAATCTTAAGAAATGAAGTTTTTAGAAAGATCTTGACTCCTGCCTTGACCTAAGCCCCATCAAAGGTAAATGTACACTAGTTCTTCTTTCCTTAGAACTCAGGACACTTGTCTTTGGTTATTGATTAAAAATTAGTTAATATCTGACTACCTTTAGAGCTATGCTACAAATCACATTTAATGAAGTAGGGATCATTTTGACCTCGGTTCCAGGGCAAGAGGTGGAACCATCCACTTCTTGCCCTTTGGTGTGGGAGTCAGAGAGGAGACGCCACACTTAGCATGAAGTCTAGAGCAGAGGCCAGCCCCTTCTTTCCCTCTCCCTTGCCCTTGTTTGGTCCTTCACTCGTTCTGCAGATGTCCCTCGTTCCCCACCTCAAGGGGCAGGTGCTGTGCTGGGAGGCAGGAGGAGAATCCTCGTCATGTGTCAGTTCGCAGGGCTGTGGGGCTGTGCTGGAGACTTGGCAAATGGAGGAGGGTTACTTTCCTACTTTTCTGCACTGATCCCCATCTGCTGCTGGCTGCTTGGCACTGAGTCCTTTTCATTTCACATTTTGCCCATTTTTCCATTCTCTATTGATTGATCTTTTTAAAAACCATATTATAAAACTTAGTAGCTTGAATCCCACTACTGATTTTAAACTTTTCTCCTAAATGTGCTCAATTTAGATATAAAACATTAGAAAATAATTTCAGCTAGCTAGAATAAAAGGGAGGATCATAAAACAATGATTTTTAAAGTGTCTAGAAGTTCAAATAAATCATCCAAATAACTGTATTTATTGATTCAGGGAGAGTGTATAGGTGTGTAACACCTGCCACAGGCAGCTAGTCAGCTAACAGGGGAGAGGAGTGAGCAAAGCCATTTTCCCTGAGAGCGTAGATTTTGCATTTTTCTGGAATTTTGTCCTTCAAAATGGTATCCCAAGAGCATCTGATAGACTTACTTGGAACTGCCTTCTGTAGAACATTTTTTTCTTTTTCCCTCTAAAGTGGAGATAGCTTAATTTTTTTATGATTGCAGAAATGATCCTATAAGCAATTGAAACATTCAGAAAAGCATAAATAAAATAAAATGAATCTAAAATCCTGTTGAGGACTTCAGAAGTGTAGTGAATAGTCTCAGTATTATTAAAGTAAGGAGGCTCGGCACCCTTGGCATTCAGATGTCAGGTTGATGTCATCAGGTGCGCTACACCTGCTTTCATCTTGGTGATTAGCATGGAGAATGGAATTCATTAAGATTGCAACTCGAGTATCAAATGAAGAGAAAGCTTGAATGTTAACTTCTTACTGCAACTCTGCAGAATTCAGTTTAGGGTTCCTTCAGAGGAAAATGATTACCCCCCCCCCTTACCCAGGAACCGTGGTACCATCCCTGCGGGTGGGGTTCTAGGTTGGCTCCAGTGAAGCCCCAGAGATGAGGTGTGCATGAGGATGCTTCTACTCGGTTGTTTTATTCCTGTGGTTTTTTCTGAGAGCAGATAGTGTATTGATCCTAATGAGCAAATTCAAAAGAC